TTTGGTAAGATCGCATGGAAGTCGAGGAATGCTAGGCAATCTTAATGATGCGTTCAGCAAAAAATGTAATGAGGAAATTGAAGGGTTAAACCGATAAAATGGATGACAAAAAAGAATTTGCACTTCCTATCCAATGCCATTGCCAGAGTGAGATGAAAATTACGATATATAAGACGAATAAGAATTTTTTTTCTTGAATGCTTTGAAAGTGAGTGGTGCTCAATTTTGAAGTTGGAACCAACATTTAGGGCGAGTGGAGCCCTCTTTGATGAAATTAAACTCTCTTTTAAATTGAGCAATTTTAGTGCAAAACCGAAAAGTGCAAAACTAACCAGGAAAACCAATACTCAGTTTGAAATGGCCAGCGCCGAGTACTTCTATGTGTGTTATTTTGCTGCTTTAATTTGTTTGCAAGGAACGAACCATAGTATGCACAGTAAATCTCTTGTGAGCACGTTAAAAATTTTTCTTGGCAGTTTTACGGATGCAATTTGTAGTTTGGAAGTGGAGCTTCTTTGATAGGATAATGAATGAGCTTATTAAAATAGTGTTACAAAAGTCAGATGACTTAGTTTAATTTAGTTTGTCATGTTTTGTCTTTAATTTTCAAATTAAAGTGCCCAATTTAGTGCCGTCAAGTGCAGCAAATAAATTATGAGTCATCTCTTACTCAAACTATTGATTTGTTACAAACCATGAGGCATGGTAAGAAAAGAAACCATGTAATAGTCCCACCGCAAACTGTCATCCCTTGGGAATGAATCTACTGCCACATTACCCTACTAACTTGCCTACAATTTCTGTGTAACCTTGGGTATGAGTGAAGCAACATAGTAATTAATTTGATAAGCAGTGGCAGGTTGGGCAGGTACAAATTTGCATGGTAAACTGAATATATAAATTATATGGTAAACAATATTTTCTTAACACCTGTAAAAAAGGAAACTTGCCATGAATGCACATTTGCATCTTATGTATGGTATTTATTTTCAAAGTGTTGTTTACTCTCAAAATACTTAAGTTCTGCACACAAGTTAAACATCTTGACAATGGTTCCTAAAAAAATTACCCAAGATAGATTTAATCCATGCAATAAAGTCCGACTACTGGAAAGAGGCATTAGCTGATACTTCCGAGGATAAAATGATAGGTGCCTATAATGTAGCAAGAACCAATGACAACCCCTTTAAAAAGTCAAGAAAAAAACCTGAAATGATCAAATAGTTCTGGTAATGCCGATATCAAATGACTGAAAAAGACATCGACACGCTATGGCAAAGATGTCAAAAATAAACGATTTGAATACAGTTACCTCTGAATAATACCATTCTCAAGAATAAAACTTAAGCATTTACACCAGCTTACCAACTGCCCGTCTTTCCAAGGCTTAACCCTAACTCCCTAGGATGTGTGCAAAATCATACTGCAATTGGAGGATTGAGAACTGTTAGGGTTAATGTTTACGTAATAACACATTCTGAAAAATGAACTCTCTTCAGTGACAGATGTATAAGGACAGTTTTCTTATCTGTGTAAAGTTGCCAATAATGTCTACACCCCCACCTGCTTGGATATGTATTACCCTAGGGGTAGGATCAAAAGGCATGTGATATCACCTGGTAGGCATCTGTATAGGACAATATCTTATGAGATTTTAATGCTGTTGTAGCCCACTAAAACAGATGTTACCTTACAAACTAATAGTTCTCATGCAAAATGTGTTCTCACTAGAAGGTCTGTAATCACCTGATAGTAAAGAATAAACTAACATGAATACATGTACATGAATGATCATCTGGTCTTAATTAATGCACTTAAATTTGTATCTTAGTAGTGTCAACTTGTAAATATTGAAACAACATTCCTTTTGAGTGGACGGAACAGACAATTGCACAGTTACAATCTGATCAACACAAGTACTATATTACAAGGTAGTGGTTCACACAAATCAATCCTCTTTCAAGCTATGCTTTCCCGGTCTTTGCCCCTCAGCCGTTTCTTTGGCCTTGACACAGAAAAGCGAGGTGAGGGAGGAGTGGATTTCGGCATTAACCCCCTCCTCACTCCCTTTTGCTAAGAGTCACCTGAACCTCGGAACCAATTAGAATTCCAAATATTCTATGCTCATATCTTCTTTTAGCTCGGAAAAGAAATGCTAAGCAAAAGAAAATAAGTCACATTTGAGAAGCTTGGAGGTGAAATTTAAAACGCTCTAGCTTCCCCCCCCCCCCCCGATTTTATTTGGCAAACAATTTTGGTCCGAGCAACTAGATTGCCCTGTGTTGGATCAAATCAACACTATGGACACAAGCACAGGAAGTAACCCATAACATTAAAACTAATAAAACATTTTTATCTGTAACTACCACTGTACTAATTAATTCATCAACACAACACTTATTCAGTGAAGTCTGGTTCAATGAATACACTTTTTGCAAAGTATCATTTCCATGAAAAACAAAACTTTCCAAGTACACAATACAGTTACTCATTATGTACAAGCAGCGTGAAAATAGCCACTTTATACAGAATATTTCATTTCTATCATACATGGTATCCATGTGATTTGCATCAAACAATGTACAATCAATTTTGATCACAAGAATGTTGATTTCCTTTATACACATGCATAGACTTATGCATAAACGTTATCTTCTTTTAAAACAACACACACCTTCTTGATTTTTACCGACTGAAGATTTTTCACAGTTGTTAGAATGAACTTCGATCCGAGATTAAAGACCACACACAGAAACAATCAAATAGTTGGGTGCCTCAAGATTACAAAAATCTGATGGAGGAACATTACGAAATAAATACAAAAATTTGCTCCGTTCATTTGAGGGCCCACATGAAAATCTACCACATGTGCAACAAATGTGCTGTTGCTCACATAATGAACACCCATAGATGTTTGCATATCACCTTGTTCTATCACAACACTCTCAGAAAAGATCTTGAACTTTGCAGCTTGAAATTATGATTGTACTTTCAAAAAATGTAACATCAAAGATATCTTTGTGTCTTAATCGTCAAAAGTGCTACGTAGAGATCGGTATTAAAAACCGCATTCTGCCAGGTCTTCAGTTCCAACCAAACTGGTAAAAGTACATGGACAAGCAGTTGAGCCTCAGACCCTTCTTACATCACAGAGAGGGGCTCCGGGGAACCGCTGCCTCCAAAGAAGTTGTCATCCGGTTCCAGTTCTGGTTCGGCACTGCGGGGGCTCTTGGTTTTCTTCTTTTTCTTCTTCTTGATTGGCTTGAGCTGGGGTAAGGCGGACGGAGGCTCCACACCTACAGAGCAAATTATTAGAAATGACGATATACATGTACATGAAAAGTTCATTGTACAGAAAAAATTGGTTGAAAAAAAATCAAGGATTCGACAATTCTACTTGAAATTATGTAGATATTCTTGTGGTATTGTGATTTCCAATACAGGAATTTCTGTACTTATGTCTTTTCAGCAAATACTTTGTCACAGACTTTCTTTCCACTCAGGAGTGCATATGAAGACAAACATGCTCTTTTTCTCTCTGAGCAAACTGACTCCAAATAGTTTGTATATTTATGCTGCAGGGAACTTGAAATGTTTCAGGAATTTTCTAGGAGCTTATCAGATCTTATCTGCAATGTAGATATTAATTGCTATTTATTTTAAGAGTACTGAAATTGAAGTTTACAAATGACACACCCAAGATCAAAACCAGACACTCCACAACTGAAGTACACTTTAGTTTGGCCCCCAACCACAGTCCTTAAGAATAAAGCCAGCATGATCAGGAAAAATCACACGGTTAAGAATAAAGAAGCAAAATACGCTACTAAAAAGTTAAGGACCACTTCTTCTTTTGTGTATAAAGTTGTATATGAGATATTTTACTGCTGAAAATGTGCACTTGGTGTTTCAGAACATTTTTAAATTTTTTTTTATTTCAACGAGAACACCATCAAGACAAACAAAAAATGAAAGAACTAGACTCCACTCATTGCTTGGAAAAAAATTACAAGTTAAGAAAAAAGTGGTCCTTAACTCTTTTTGAGTAGTGTATCACACATCCCTAGTATTGTAATCAAGATCTTTTCAGTTCAGTGTCAATTAGAAGCCATTTTTAGCCGGTGTTTGTTTTAGAGGTATCACAGATTGTTTGGCTATTGAATAAAATGAACATGAATGTTACAAAAGGAGACTTGAAACTAACTTTTCAGTACGTCTGTTTTAGTTTTCATTTGAAAGAGTGCTTTGCATTGATTGGTTAGCCAGTATGACATCCCGCTGAAAATGATAATTGCTTTGGTAAAAAATTAGAGGATTTCCTTTAATTTACATTGTACAAGATTCTTTTAAAGACCTTTAGCTCAAAAGTGGATCTGGCAACTTGTGTCTCTCATTTTTCCAAGGGCTTACCAAGTCCCCCCAGTGGGGGTAATGACGTCCCTCTCACCCCGGGCCCACCCAGCGAAGGTAGGTCACCCAACAGGGACCCACTGCCAGGCGAGGGCACCTCCTCCTTGTCTAGGGTACCGTTGGTCTCTGGTCCCGGGCTAGGGAGATCATCCACCCCTGGGGGAAGGCTGACGGGCAGCGGCTGGGGGTCAGCATGAGGGGCGGGGCTGGGGTTGGGCTGAGGGATAACTGTGCCTGACGACTGGCTGGTCTTGTGGAAATCCAGTCTAAAGTGTGAAAAAAAATCAGATTTGTGCTTGATCATGAAAATGTCACACATGCTAAAACCATGACAATTCAGGTCTAGGCTTCTCAACTCTGAGAAATACAGGGAAGATGTTTGAAAGAATAATTGCTATGTTGCAAACTAGGGAATCTGTTTTTTTACTTTAAATGAATTTTGCAGTCTCACCTACTTTCGGGAATTAAAACATCTGTCAGTAAATCCCAAGCATTCTTGTAAAGGTCATTAAGATATTGATATAGATTTGTCAAAAGAATTGTAACATTCAATGCCTCAATTCCCAGGCATAATAAAAAACTGCAAATATCAAAAGGTTAAACCACTGTGGTATAAAAGCCTTTTCTTTTAACTGTTTGTGAACGCGATAGAAACCCGAGATCAGTTGGAATGTTTACCTCTTGGATTGGTCAGGTGTTTTTGAGTCAACATTAAAGTCTCGTGAGGTTGATGATGATGGACGAACAACTCCTTCATTCTTCTCAACCCTTTTCTCTGCTTTGGATAAATTAAAAACACCACTGAGTAAATCAAACATCAAATGGAGTTTGGCCAGCAAGTGAATGCCATTGTAAGGTGAACACACTAGACTGTGGTGGCTTCAGACCAGAGCGCATGCACTGCAAAACTCATGCAAAGAATTTGGCAAGTTACGGCAGGGTGTCACTGGTCTCAATCTGGTTACCCGATTGGTCTTCTGATAAGTAGTGGACTGACCTGGTGCTTGACCGGCCACGTACAGTCTGACCCCTTTACTGAGTCGCTCACACAGCTGTGTGATGTGCTTCTTGAGCTTGGTGGTGTCGGCCGGCATGGTTAGGGGGGAGGGGTTAACGGCCTGGTCCAGGGCCTTCTTGGCCAGGCAGGTACGGAGGAGGTTGCTGATGCCAGCGTCCACTGCCTCCTCCCAGCCCTGCGGGGAAAAAATCCTCTCTACTGTTACAGCGATGCTTCTCAACTTTTATGAAAAGATGGAGTAGACGGTCGGAGGCAAGCCACCAAGATGGAAAGAGTTTGCACATTTATGAAGCACAGACTACTAATCCTTAGCAGAAATAGGCTACCCGTTAAAAGACATGTGCTGCAAGTGCTGCTTTTAGATGAGTCCCTGCTGTTTTTTACTGAACACATCAATACCGGTGATTCACAATAGTGCACCTCCAAGAGTTTGCAATGCATTGGCCAATCACAATGCGCGAAATCTGTTGACCCAATGCGTGTTTGGAAAGGGTTGACAGATTTCACGTATTGTGATTGGCCATATTCCCAACTAATATTCCCCGCTAAGACACTGAGTGAAATTTTCCTTTAAATGGATTCCCTATTTTAAAAATAGCAATAGATTCAGATGATCTTCAATTCGGCTGACACACAAAATAGCTTTAAAATCAGGCAGAGGGAATACAAGCATTTTTTCTTTCCAGAAGTTTGTGATGCCAACCATATGAAACTTTCAAAACAAATGGGAAACTAATTAGCATGTGCAGATATATTTCAAATCCAACTTTTGGCCAGCCAAATCAGACTAAAGCAATATTATTCAAAAACTCACACAACTGGTCAATATTTCAACAAGAAAACAATTCCACTGTGAACTTCTTAAACCAGTCACTAAGCACTTGAACAGAACTGATGATTTTACAGTACCCTTGAAAATTTTTTTTGTCACAATTTTTTCTTTTGCATACAAATTTGACACAATAGAACTTCTAAAATCGGCTTGATTTTTAACATCTTTCGGTCGCAGTTTGTCAGAACAGAGAGTTCCTAATTGAAAAAAAAATTGGTTTTGCATCAATCAAGTTACCTGTTCACCGTCACAAGGTACATGTGGCATGAGACTGGACTTGAGAATATCAAACTCTTTATCTGTCAGGCTGTGGGCCAATTTGATGACGGTGACTATGATGTGAGTAGCACAGCTAAGGCCCAGCGAGCAACGGACCAATGCCTTGTGGTTCTCCTCCACACCATCTGCTAACTTCAAGATCTGTATAGAACAAGGTTATTTTTGTCAAAGTCAAGCTCCCAGGTGTGAGAAATCCAAGAAACAAAAAAAAAGCAATGACAATGACAACACTGTGACTTTTCAGGGATTATAACAAGTAGCAGGGCAACAGCCTTCTCCCAAATGGCTATGGTTGCGCAAATCTCAATTTTTTTTTACAAAACTTTCAAAAAAGTAGTAAACCTCAGAAGTCCAAGATTTTGGGGTAAAAAACCCGAGATCTGGAGAAATCCTGAAAAGCACCCCTCTTGAGTTTTATCTACATTTGCAGCTTGAAATTTCAGCTTTACAATTCGTTTCATATGTGTCCTTTAACAAACCCTATAAAATACTCCCAACTTTGGCTATAAATACTAGGCAACTGGTTGTTTGTGTAAAACTGTGAAGCTGGAATGAACAGGAGGGTCGCACTTAAGGGGGTAATTAATTAACAACACTGAAACCTGAAACAAAGGATGGAGAAGCAGCCCAGATTTAGAAACTGCACAATATATTTGGGTGTTTGGAACCAATTTAGAAGAGTACCAGTCACACTTATGACTGCTTATTTAGCTGTTACTTCTGAGTGCTCTGGAGATGAAGTCTTGAACTATTCATCAATAGGAGTGATTAGCAATACACTGTGTCACTACCAGGTTATCACACGGAGGCCTCTTGTCACCGGCCATCATGGGAAAACAGTGAGCATCCATGCTCTTAGTGTTACTTCCTTGAGATAAGCACTCAACAGGTTTGATAAGTGGGTAATTCAACTTGAAATATTTCTCAGTGACCTTTTAAAAATCAAGAATTTCTTGAGGTTCTTGCCTGTCTGTACGTCCCATCCAGGAGGGTATCCAGGTTAGCCAGCGGCGACGGTGTCTTGTCTTTAAATCTGGTGAGTAACCGACGCTGGATGGCTCGGAACTGACGAGCTCTCTGGTCTAGAAGCTCCTTGTATCGCTCGGCATTTATCCTCAGCTGATGGAAAGCAAACATCATCAGGTAACATTCAAATACTATTGACAAACATTTTTCTGTGTAATAAAAGTAATGAAGGTCCAAAATACAAGGAAGATCCAAAATGCCGGAAAGCAGAGTTTCCCAAACTTAATGTTCAACACTTTTGCTGGAAGTTTGGAGGTTCTGTTATTCCATTCTTCTCAGAGTAATGCCTTTTCAAGGTTAAACTAGTTTATATATTGGAGTTGACAAGTATTTGGATGAAATTCTGAATTTCTGGATCTAATTTTTCAAGCAAACGTACAATCAGCAACCTTGACCTAAAGTCTTACCTCCAAGTGGGTGTCGATGAGTTCAAAGTACTCCGTCAGGGGAACAATCCCACTGTATGACAGCTGGAAATCCTTGGCACCGCCACGACGCTGGAAGGACTGGATCCTGTCTATGAATGACCGCAGCACTACCCACATGGACTCAAATACATCAGACTGAAGCCGGTAACGCTCTTTGGAATGAAAAAGGGACATTTCAAAACAAGAACTATAACAATATACACACCTCGAGGAGGTTTGCAGTAGTACCGTGTGACTATCTCTTTTCTGAAGAAATGCAGCTTTGAAGAAAGAGCCAATGAGTTTTCTGTTTCAAAATAGGTATTTTTCGTTTTGCCAAATCAAGACTCCGCTTCATGAATTTAAATTGAATTTAAATAAAAAAAGACAATAAACAAATATTGTTTGGAAATACTCTGCAATGTTTCCAACTTTTTTTAAAATAATTTTCTGTCGTGAAAATAAAAAAAAAAATCCACACAATAATTACAACACCCCCACCCCCTTGATTTCCTACCGAAGTGATCGTCAAAAGCTTGCTACAATTAATCAACAGACAATTCATGTGTCACTTCTCATATATAGAATCAAATTACATTTAAATATATGTACAGTGTTCATGCACAGTGAAGTCACACAGTAGGTTTTGCATGTAACAGTCGTTGATCACAATTTGTTAATGTTGGACATCGACTCGCCATTTTATTTGGCAGCGGTGCGACAAAATTCAGAAAGTGAGCCTTCCAAGGGCCCATTCAGCTATGGTACACCAAGCTTACTAGGTTTTGTTTACTTCAAGAAATATGTCATGAGTCTTTCGTTTTGCTGCTGCGGTTTCATAATTTCGCAATGCTGTACTAGCCTTGTTTAAAGGCGTCTATGCAGATTCACAGACTGAATTCCCCACGTGTGCAATACGCATATGTGTGAGTATGAACTTGTTGGCACCTTATTTCAATGCTAGTACAGTGCAAATGACAATATCCAATGTGTGTACTGTACCGTGCCACTGCGATGTGCCAGCTGCCGCTGCATGCTTGGGGCTCACGGAGACGCCATAGCGCTTGCAAGTATCGTTACCGGCGCAGATGACCCAATCATGTGGTGGAGTGGGGCAATTTAGAAGTTTCCAGCATAATTTGTTCATTAAAAGCAAGCATTTTAAAAGGGTTTGGAAGGCATTTATTTATGGTTCTTTGCGGAAAGGTTTTTTTACTTCTGAAGTCATTCTTAGTGGGAAATTTTACAAGTTCCATTTCAAGCAGTGATTTCTGTTTCAAAGTGTTCATTCCGTGACTTCCACCTGTTTTCCGTGATCGCAGAAAGTCACTGGCTCTATGAAAAGAACTAGACATTTCTCACAAATATTCTTGAGAATAACCCTCTCCAGCAAAGTTCGAAGTTTTTACTCTGCAAATACAAAACATACGAGTATGTGACGAAACTTGAAGAAGGGTGGAAAAGGATTGGACGGAAGAAAAATCAACGTCTTATTACTCACGAGATGACTTCGATGCCAGAATGGTGACCTTGGGTCCGCCAATGATTTGGAATCCAAGGGCTTGGCCCGGCCCTCCAGCATTAGGTCCAAGCAGGTCTGCAGGAGACAAAGAATGCATATTATCCACATACGGTCAGCCAAACTACTTAGTCGCCCATGGAGGTTGAATGGCTTTGCACAGTAAGGAATTCTATGACAAACTGTGACCGACCTCAACTCTGGACTAGACTGAATTTTATGCCACATGATGCCGGACGTCAGTATGATATTCAAGACTTGGTAAATAGTTGGTAAATAGTTGGTAAATAGTTGGTAAATAGTTTTCAATGTACAGAGGATATAAGGTTCAGAGTGCCATGTCATTTGAAGCAAGATATGGGACGGAGAGAACCCCCCCGGCCTTTGTGTTGGTCATTGTTGATCAGAATCTCAGGAATTCTTTACAGACTTCTAGGGGGGATGTGTTAGGTAACAATAGTCTAGAGTGTGTATAGGGATTGAACAGGTAAGGGGGTACCCATCCGTCCAATATCTTGCCTGGTATATGCCATGTTAAAGGTGAACAACCGAGTCAAATTCAAATACAGCATAATGACACAGCAAGTAATCCTTTGCTACGAGATGCATCCATTCCTGCCCGTTAAATTATATCTTCACCTATAACATACCATTAAAAACTTATTTATAAATACGTCAGTCAGTCTCCCTATTCAACAGCACGCCACTCTATCGTGTATTAACATTTGATAATGCCCGCTGCATAAATCACGCCCTGGCACCTGGATATGAGATAGTTTCATGGCTTGGGCATTTGGCCGCGTCCATTCTCCTGAGCTGGTCAAGACTGGCCAAGCACACATTTATTGCCTCTGTAAATGACCTCCCTACTTTTTCTACAGATCCAGGGCTGACCTGTGTCCAAACTGAAATATGAATTAACTTGGATTTGGAAGAAATTGTTTGCAGTGCCAGTGACGATGGAACGTCAGCAGTTGATAATGCTTACAAAAAAACCACTGTTGGGTAATTCCAGAAATTAGGGGTCCAAAGTGTGACATTTTGATGTCCCTGTTACATCTGACCTTTGTTACTTGACATGGAAATATCACCGGAATTGATTTCAAACTATTACTATTTGTTTGGCAGGTAATTTGCATTAATTCATCACTCTTGGAAATTAGAAGATGTGTTCTGAACTGACAAAATCATGTGTCAGATGTGACAGGGACACGGAAAAAATGGACCCCTAATTTGCGCAATCACCTTGCTGCGAAAAAGGTTACTTACAAAAATCAAACTTTTGATGAACTTTTAATTGGCACATATTTGAACACATGCACCGGCAGCTTTACCTGGAAAGACCTCGTTCAGATTGGCGGCATTCCTGTTGCTGTCGACGGTGATCTTATATGTGGCTGTCTTGACCGGTGCACAGGGCTTGACCACAAGCTTCAGTGGGAGCTCAATCGCACTCTTGACAACGCGTGGCGCTCCTGAAAATATCACAACAAATGGCGGCAATCGAGTCTCCTCTCCAGTTTATACAAATTACATGTACCAGGAAGAGATCAATAAATCTGCAAAAGAAAGATTTTGACAGGTTGGATGATCACCTTTGGATGTGCTGTACGTGGCCATTGCAGACGCTGTTAAGCTGGCTGGGAGAGAATTGCCTCGCAGGAAGAACGACACGAGCACGCTGGTAGGAGCAGAGGAATCCCCTGGTAACAAAGAATGACAACACAGACCCTTATGAGAGCAACAGAAGAGGAAGTCTTCCTTGTTGTACAAACAAGAGGCAACACGAGGTACCTTCCACATCAAAAACACCATGGCGATGTTGGCTAATTTTGATGCTAATCACAAATTCTGTACTCCCTTCCATGGGCTCCGCACATGAAAAACAGGGATTATTTCCCCCCGAGTGACAATCTCCCTTGAGGCGATATGCACACTGCACTTGTTCATGCAGATCTGGCATGAAACAGGTACAATTAATTTGCAAATCTATGACATTTTACCGTGGGTAACCGGTATAAGGCCCAGTAATATTTGACTGTCACCCCCCCATCTATCTGTCACCAAATGAAACAGTGTTTGCGCACCGAGTGGATGCTAGAAATGGAAAACATCTCCATTGTTGAGGGACACTTCGGGGAGAAAATGCCAAAAACTTTCCATCCCCCAACAAGTGTTCGTGCGGCTGCTGCGAAAAAAAAAAATGACATCCCCCTGACAAAAACTGATTGACTCGGCTTGTTGGGTACTCACCAATGAAGGGGAACGTGAAGGTGCTCTGGTTGGGTGAGATTGGGTAAGGACAGTGGATCAGCAGACGCACATTGGGCAGACTGACGCTGGTCTTCAAGACCAACTGGAGAGGAAAAAATTGGTCAAGTGATGGTGAGACGATATATGTAGACAATCCAAAGGCTACAGTTAAAACCAAGACATCGTGGTGACACTTACAGCAGCTTTTTCTGTATCCAAATGAATCAGAAGGGAAACCTGACTAGATTCTGGTCTACTAAGTGTGGGATTTGACTTAACAACCTCTGGAATGGAACAACAGCGCTCTTACAAATGAGCTTATCCAGGTCTTTTGTTGATGATCTTGCCACTTATTATTATCTCTGTTTTGGATGTCTGATGCAACAACATGAAGTGAGGCTTAAAGCTTACGCCCTCAACACTAGCAAATCTTCCTTCAAGCCATTTTTAAAGGCTGTGTCTGAATGCACCGGCTGAGGCTAGGAGTAATGCACACGTCTGTGGATTTGTAGCAAGTGGCCACAGCCGCTAGGTAATGCTTCAACAAGTGCATATGTTAACCACAGCTCCAGCCATTACATCCGGGCACGGCCTAACTCTCACAAAATTCAAACACACAATTCTTGCGTGCTCCTCCAAAGCCACGAAAACATTTATTCAAAGCCCACCCACCTTGACGGTAATTGACGGGATGGGATCTTCATCCTCAACTTCTGTCTCTGTGGCACTCTAGGATTCAAATGCATTACAAATGAATAAAAAAGGTATATGAAACAACTAGAAAATTACTCTATTTTTAGGCCATACATGTACATGCTTGGAATGTTACCGGTTGAGCGTCTTTTCACTAATATACGAATACGCTTTAAAACTTTGAATAGCAAATACACGATAAGAAGTTCTTTGCTGACAATGGGCTCAGTAACTGATCCAAATAGGATGCCCAAACAGTTAAACGCTTTGACTTCAAGCTGTGAGCTGCAATGTAGATTTCAAGGGTCCCAGACCCATTGCCAAAGGAGTAATACTGTGGATGTGAGCAACAGGAATTGTGTGATCAACAAGTGGATGAGTGAAACGGTGGAACCTTTGAGTGCATGGGATCGGTGCTAGGGAGTTGCTATGGGGTTTATTGTTGTTAGAGAGATCAGTGGATGTGCAGGGTGTGATAGGGAGGCCTGTGAAGATGTCAACATTATAAGGAGTCTGGATAAGGAATCTGCTGTCTATCTCTCCAGTAAAACAGTTGATAGTAATTGTACAAATGCTAAAAGCACTGAACTGAGGAAAGCTGTGTCATGCAGTTAAATCTGCAATTGTTTTTCGGCATATTCACCATTTGGAAGTTCTACAGGCTTTGTTTGGGCCGTGTTTTTCACTTGATTGCCTATGACTGAACGTTAGTTTTCAGAAGAAAATGCTGCTAGACTCATAAGGTGCATGATCCCTGTAATAAATTTCCTTTGATTCCAAAATTGTTCAGTATAATATGACAAGATTAAAGATTTGTCCAAGGAGAAGGCAACTGTTTTGGAAGTCAACACAGACAGAGATCAAAGGTTTTCACCAATGAACTTATTGGAAAACACTATTCATTTTCTTCAAAGTTTTTGCAATCTGCTTGTTAAATCATATGAAGAATGTCTGATATAAAAATCTGGGATTTTTTGCTGCATTTGTGTAAAATTGCACTTGCTTTTAGCCTAAAAATACTCAGATTTCAAGGCCTCTTGCTGAGTGCAGATGGCAAGTCAAATGCAGCAGTCTGCAAATATAGTGACTGAAGTGCCATTGGTGATTGGTGAACATGTGATTGTGTTGGCAATGAAGCGGGAAACAGCATGCCAGATGTTTGTTAATTTTCTGCATGATCCCGTAAAAGCACACCAAACCGTGCGAGGGACTCTGATTCACTGATGAGCATGCTGTGCCATGCCTTACCCTCACTCCCTCTGTAAAATACTTGTACACCTTTTGTAGCACACACATGAAATGAGAAAGGATTTTACTGGCACTGGTTTCACCACACAGGAAACTATGAACCACACAAACAGCAATTAGCATAAAATGGAATAACAGGAAGCTATAAAACAGACACACAGTCTGAGCACTAACGGCAAACTCTAGCAGACGGTGTCTTAATTTCGTCATGTCAGTGCTAAAAGGCCCTTACTGAAAAATTGCACTAGAAAGTCTTTATTGAAAAATTCCGTTTTAAACATAACATGGGGCCAGAAAATTTGTTGAAATTTAAACATGTTGGCCCAAAAACTAGTTTAACCCTTGCTCAATGAGAGCAATGTACTGCAAGTCAGTAGTACCTGCCAATGCGCTGCAGCTGGCGTGCTTTGGAGGACTCTTTGCATTACCAGTGGAGTGATTTTACTGCACAGCCCAATAGAAGTACATGTATCCAGTGTACTCAAGAGGATTGTGGCATGTGGCTTTGCTTATCAGAGTGATTACTAGAATTATTACCAGCTGGACCAAGCTGACCTCCAGTTTTCTTTGCAGTTCCTTGAAGTGTACACAGTTTCTCCATTGAAGTGGCGTGGCCATTAGTGGAGGGCCATGCAATAAACATGGCCACTTTTTTTAACGGGAATATTGGAGTGCATTGGAGTGTAAACAAGGGCAAGGGTTACCAACTAAAAGTATAACAAATATAGTCTGTTTCAGTACAGTATTTCCTTCATGCTCAGAGTAAGACCCTACGAAATTTTCCAAAACTAACTTTTGCTGTAATGACCTTTTAGCACTGAGCCAACGCTTTGATGTCCTCAGAAACCTGAGTCCTAAATTTCTAAGCATTCAGTAACAGAGGGCAGAAATGGCCAACAATTTAATGCCTCAAAATGACAACTAGATGCTGTAGCTTGGTGTGGTGTGAAAGAATGTACGGTAACAATTGGCTCAGAGTGGAACACTGATACAGCATGTGGCCACTTGATTGGGCGCTTACCGATGTGCTGTCTAGATTGGGCGGCACGGTAACCTCAATCTGGAGGTCTTCATCAGCTGTCTTTTTGGGCCTAAAATCTGTCATTTGGCAACAAATACAAACATACACATTGTCAAATTCTTTAATTGTGCCGCAGGTAAAACTATTCATCGCCCTCGTTCGAGAGAGCATGAAACAGGCTTTCATCTCCAATGCCTCGAACCTGCATAAGACCTGACGTTCATCTAACTTGTAACTAAATCCTGTTCCCTGAGTCTTACAAACTTTTGGTACTTATTACGTCTGCAACAGAGAGGATGAACTCAGGTCTTTATTTTAAACATGCTATATATCGAAGGTTCGATCAAGGCGTCTTTTAACACTTTTTAAATCATGCCACCAGTGACCCCAGTGCTGTTTAAGTGGAAAACCTGGTCCTTTCAAACTCCCACAAGGTAGCATTTACCCTATCCTATCCTTGATTGGTAAACAGTGGTGGGGTCTGTTACACTAAACCTTACATGAGGTCAGTGTCTACGAGTGCGTTGCTGGTTGAAGACAGTGCATCTTTAATGTAATGCTCATTAAGTTTGGCAGTCTGATTAATAAACATATACAAACATTATTGTGGGAAGAAAAATTGCCAGCTGCTAATAATTCCCACGTGTCCGTTCCTGTAGATTTCCAAAATTTAAGGACCAGTATTTCATTGAAAAGTGTCTCAATCAATCTCACAGTTCTTGTTTCTACCTTGCTTGGAGGCAGACTCTTTGATAACCCGCTGCAGTTTCCTCATTTCCAAGTCTTGCTCCTCGTAGTTGATTTCCCTAGAGTCTGTGGATGGCGTGACAAACAGCGATGGGTCAGTGCCCAGGTAAGAGCAGACCAGATGGCCTTGGTCATCAATGCTCGTTATCACTCCCTTCAGATCTCTGGAAAAAGTGAACAAATATAAACAGTGACAGCTGGAAACATCACCTTTCAAAACTTGGCACATTTTTGCAATCAAGATAAAAAATTGATATTTCAACTCTTGAAAATTCAACTGAAATCATAAACTCCAAGATGTATCTTACTGAATTCTACATACACGTAAATCCTCAAGTCTAATTTATTGCAGGCAGTTGACTTATAAATGGACTTGCAGTTTAAGTAAAGCAATTAGAATCTTGAATGAGTGCTGCAGTTTTATGACAGTAATTTCACAACTCAGAATGTTTTTTCAGCTCAGGCTGATTGATGTCAGAAGTTGTGTGCGAATTCTCAGAAATACCTGACAATTCATCAGGGGCTAGCTAAATAGTCACTACCACTAAGCAGTTTGTTGTTCAACACTCACTGAAACTGGCCCACTCGTATCGACACTGGTACATATTCCAACTTGGCTGCCCACTTCAGAGTTGTGTCCTGGTAGATCATCAGCTGACCTGTGTGAGTGGCTACCATGTATGTGATGCTGGTATCCGAAGCTAACGGAGTAAATGAGACCGGACAATATGTAATGAAAAAAATCGGTTTTACTTTGTTGCTGGATACAATAGCCAAATTAGATATTGGACCGGTTCCAAGTGCAAACTTTATTTTGGTATTCCTTCTGGTTTAAAGCACTGTTTTTTCATTTTTAAGCTTAACGATGACTGAAACATTCTCTAACAGTAGCAATATTTTAGGAGGTGTCCTTCATACAAAACATCAATGCTGGACTGATGGCAAGGGATTGTGGCAAAGCACCTTGCTTTAAGAGTTGAGCTCTTACCACCTGTCAAGACTCTACACAAAATATGTCTGACACTACAGCCAATCCATGAAGCTCTCAAGAAGGAAAACTGGGAAAAACATTTGACTATCATTTTGCACCAGCTTGATGCGTCCTTCAAAATTTATGACTGAATTTTGTGACAGCTTTGCCGTACTAAATGAATGCATAATTTCAGGTTTGAAGACAGTTGTCTAATTGGGTCTACTTACACGTTCCATGTGGGAATAAACAACTTGGAGTGTATTCCAACTTCTTCATAAATTTGAAAGCCCCAGTGTCCTTCAGACAAATCACTGACCTCTCACCTTAAGAAAGACAAAGACAAACAAGATAAAGCAAGTTATATCTGACACACGGCTTGAGGCAGCCCAGCCATGCAGCCAAGACTTGCATGTCCACATTGTGCGAGTATGCCTTACTTGTAACAAAGATTATAAAAATCCAATCCACTGTGTGCAAGTTGCCACTGGTGAGATACGTCCACTGGTAAACTATACATGGATTTGTTTCGATTTCTGACAGTCTCCCACTTCAATTTATGTATTTGCAATGTACTGTGCTTGATGCCGTGCAAGGAATTCTTGTTACACCAACTTACCAAGTATCAAGATAGATGTGGCCCCTTGTGTTGAAACAGTCACAAAAATATCCAGGGCTGCTTCTCCAAGATTGTAAGACCAGTCCATCTTTAAGACAAAAACAGTCAAATGAATTTGAACAACAATGGACAACATGCTTATACAGTATGCAATGAACTGTGAGGAAGAACTGAGGAATTCTAACGATTTGCAAGACTTCACCAAGTTCTGAGTAAGCTCTACAACAGTGAAATGCCTCTGTCTACAGGCAGCATACAAACGCTAAATGAAAGGCTTCACTATGAGAACTTCAATGTTGTGTAGGCTGTTAAAACGGTTTCGAAGATCTCCCTCTACTCACAGTTATTCGCTTCCCGGACGTTATCTTCTGCGACTCCTCTTTCGTCTTCGCGTCCGTTGCCACGGCGAGCACCTGGTATTTGTAGCTTTCCACCTGCCAGCTGGAGGAGACAGTGATGAAGGAGTCGGTGCGGGGGATGTACTTGAGGGGTCCAGGCAGGAGGAATCCTGGCAAGAAACGACTGAAGGAGAAGCTCTCCTGTTCAAAGAAGGAGACGGTGCCATCCATGGACTGCACACACATGAAATCTTTGCCTGCGATTCAAGAAGAAGTTAGGGGAAAAAAAAACATGCAGTTTTTGACAAGCACCAGTGGCCAAGTCTCAAGCCAATTAATTCCTTAAGACTTCAAACGCTTTGCAGAACAAGCTGGCACAGGTTACTTAAGTCGCCTTCCATGGTAAAAGCTGTATGCCCACTACAGTCCTGAATCCGTCTCAATCCGTACATTAGATGCTTGATAGCATGCTCTACATGGTTTGAAGATGCAAAAGTGCAGCAGGTTTCCTCAAAATTTCCTCTGATGACCCTAACTGCGGGATATGTCTTCTCCCAAACAAATGACTTTTAGATATCCTGGAGAAAACATGAGCTCTACAAGATAAGGTAAACGAAAGAGCTCTTAGAATGAAGTTCTCAGAATTCATCAACTTGAGAAATTATGCAAACTTGATGACAGTGTGAATCTGAACTTTAGTTTCAGATGGCATTATTTCACAGTGAAGCAACCAAGGCACCCTCTCATTTTCAGCCTAAAATCGTGACATTGTAAAAGGGGCACAAGACCACATGCACTTTTCAGAACTTAGTGGGACATTACAAATGCCGACCTCTCGGTAATCATTTGTCCCTCCTACACTTCACTTTTCTACACCTACATGTACCTTTGACACTGCCAAAGGGGCCAACTACCAGATTGAATGCTGTCCTCTGCAGGTTGTGCTCATAGACCATCTTCATCTGATACTGACTGCCATGTTCCACAGCGCCTGCTGTTCCTAAATGAATAGGGCGTGACAGAAGAAAAATAGTTCCAAGAGACTTCTCCCCCTTACTAATCACTTACAGGGAAGAGAATGGTAATCTTGTGTTCCTTTTTCAAACCACTCTACTAGTCCCAGCTAGTGACAGTGTCACTCCTGCGAGTTAATAGCCCTTTACTAGCTGGTTGGCGTTCCGTTGTTGTACATCTTTCCTCCCCTTCTTTGTGAGATCCATGACGGCAAAGCAAACAGAACGGGCACTAACTCACCTGAAACACTGTAGATAGTCAGTTTCCGTGGATGCAGTACTGCAAGGTGAAGATTCTCTGAGACACTGAAATGTGAAAAAATATATATTTTGAAGTCTGTTAAATATGCTTGAGGTCTATTTGACCTGAAAGGCCTTGTTCTCCTGTCTAACAAAAAATTTAAAAGCCGACAGTACTTTGTCCAAAATTACTTTGGTAATCCAGGAGTTTATTAGATATCCACTCTGAGTTGAAGTACCCCCTCACTGGCAAAGAAGAGAATGTTTGGTAGGACATGTTCCCACTAGGCACCTGGGGCAGGGGATGATCATACACTTTAACAGCAACTTAGTTAGATGTGGCCTGTGTTCTATGTGCATAAACCTGCACACACATGCTCTGAGTTTCTGCAGAAGGATTATTGTTGCATTGTGTAAGGGTACGCCATCGAACGCAGAACCGAATCAAATATACTCTGTTCTCCAGCACTCGGCACGCATGATGTGCCACACATTGAGCAGGTTGCCTTGCATACTTACGACACAAATCGGCCAGCCTCCACCTGCAGTATTGGCTGTGACAGCTGCATCTCCAAGAGGACGGCAGCCGCCTTGTTGGCCTCGCCTTGAGAGCCTCGTGGCTGGTAAATTCGCAGCACGCCATTAAAACCACCAACAATCACTTTATCTGTCGGACAAAAAAAGCAAAATTCGTCTTAAATGTGACAATGAAACTGCAGAATAGTGCGAAAATGGTTATTTTCTTAATTTGAATAAAACACTTAGAGCTTTCGTTCACTGCTCTCGCAGACCTGCAAGGGAGTCATTCTGTCAAGATCCCACGAAGATATCCAACATATATCAGGGCTCGCGAAATTTTTAAAAATGTAGTTGCCCTTTGGGCAGGGGAGTCTAAAATCTGGTTGTCAAAACTTCATTTTCAGTTGTCCGACAAGGAAGTTTTAGCCACACATGGTCTCCAAGATTTCAGTAATTACAGTCATTTTCCTAGTTCCCGATCGCTTGAAATGAATGGGCCTACCCACCATTTTGCTATTGCTCTGCAGCATTACACGCTAAGACAACTTCTTTTTTGAAAGGTAAAATGAAAGTCTTGCAGTACAAATTTTACTCCCAGAAAATTTCAAGAAAAGGAATTCTGGCTAAATTTCAAATTCGCGCTTTGATGTTTGTTGACGGTTTGTCAAAAAACACGGGAGCACAAAAAAATCAACACCAGAAAAAATTACAGGTCAGTGGGTCACTCACTACGAAAGATTCCATGAATGTTTTTCCTAGTTTCGGATCGCGCATGCAAGTAGGCCTACATGTACGAACGTCATGAACTCAACTACACGTGCGTAACAGATTTGGATGTGACATAATGGGTTCGTCAACTTTGCGGCGTGGGGGGATTTGTGGTCGACGGCTCACTGAGCAGCAAAGTCAAGTCAAAATTTATGCAGGCTATCCATGTTGATGCACTGAAATTAACTAATCTCCTTTAAAATAAGACTTGCTTTACTAGAAAATATGCTTCAATAGAAGAGAGATGCTTGTTGCAATGATTTTGGCAGAGAAATGGGTTTACGGTTGACTACTTTTTACATGTATGTGTAGCGATCCAAAACTGGCTGAACCGATCCAGAACTACACGTAGGAAAAATGTCGTTGTCACTTTTGCCGATCTTGTAAGACAAATTAAAAACTCAAAATTTGAAAAAATACATGTACAAGGTAGACCCCTGACCCATTTTATTGGAATTTGATGATAATTGAGCTGTAGTATGATTGAATATTGTTTTAGTGATCCGGAACAAGGAAAATGACTGAATGCAGACACGGCTAGGTTTATGCCAACGATTCGACAGTACATACCACAGTGCACCTACCCGAACATGTACAGTCGTGCAACATAAAGGTTAGGACATTAATCTTTTTTGCGGTCTTTTTTTGCGATCTTTTTTTGGTGCATGGTGCTGAAAAGCTCAAAACACCGGGCAAAAAAATGTGTTGCTGAAACAGGTGCTTGCTCGTCAGGCTGGCAGCCTGGTTGCCCGACAAAATATTTTGGCTGTCCCGGACTGTCCGACTACCGATTCTGCGAGCCCTGGATATTAATTGGCTACCAGACAACCTTTGCTTTTCAAATAGGTCACTGTTTAAACAGTAGAAGAGAGAAGATACAGAAGCATGGGTTCTTTGGCACCGAATTCAACAAAATGCTGTGCAAACTAGAGAGAATGAAGACATCAGGAAGGAAACTAGTGATGTTAGATCAACAAAACCTGAACACTGACATTTTCTGTGATTTCCTATTACCATTTTACATTCCTGGCACAAAAAATGCACAATAAATGACAAAAAATGAATAGCGTTGAAACAATCTTTCAAAGATGTTTTCAAGGTCAGCATCTGACACATGCTAAGTAGTAGTAGGGAACGGTATTTACTAGACCCACCCCACCTTCAATCATCGTCCCCCAGTGTACCAAAAAATACCAAAACTAAACCATGGCAAAATTGAATTACTCCAGACCCCTGCGACCTGCTTTTTAAAAATTTTATAAAGCCATTCCACCCTTGGCGATCCGAAAACCCAACAAAATAATTTGGCTCTAATAAAACCTACGTTCCAATTTTGCCGTGACTTAGTTTCCGATTACCGCAAAAAGGGACGATGATTGAAGGTGGGGCATGCCTATTAAATACTGTTCTATACTACTATTGTTACAAAGAGACGATGCTTTTGGTCTGGAGTCTTTGAGAAAAATTAGGTAAAAAAAAAAAACCTATATAAAAGGATATGATAGACCATACAACGAACGTGAATTGTTATTTCTGCAAAGACACGAGAAATCCAATTGATTTGATAGATTCGTACGATTGTTTTCGTTGTTTAAATTCCAACCGTTTATGCAAATGTGCCGATTGTAAAGAATGTCATGATTGTCATGAATGTAACGACTGCACCAGATGTAATGACTGCTCCACTTGCGACGATTGCGGTAGATGTATAAATTGTGTAGCTTGTTTTAATTCATACGACTGCCAAAATTCAAATGCCTTAGACAGTTGCGAGGACTGTTACCAGTGCGGCAATTGTATCGAATGTTTTGGTTGTACATATTGCACCTGCTGCGTAAATTGTGTCGAGTTGGATGGAATGGATCACGTGGTGCTCGTAGACGGTAAGCATAAAAAGCTGAGGCACGCGCGAGAAAATGAGCCACTGCCCGATTTAGCGACTAAACTCGACACGAATTTATACAAAATTGGACTCATTATTGAATACGACATTGACGTTGAAATAGAAATCCCACCCGAGTTAATAGACGCGGCCGAGTAAAAATGAGAAAAATCTATGCCTAAAGGCGGGAAAATTAGAACCATGTCAACCCACGTATACATCGTTTCAGACGACCACGAGCGTCTCAATGCTGACAACTGCAACCCCAATGTCACCTACGGTCCCTTTGACCTGAGTAAATTAATTATTTCAAATCCCGTGATTAAAGAAGGCACTCATTACAGCTCGCCCATTTTTTACCATCACAACGGCCAAAATAAACGCCTGTTGATTATGACGATAGAACTCTGTTACGGTATAAACCCGCTTCACAAAAACGGCACTCGAGATAAAACCCCCCAAAACATCAAAGGCTGTCAAATTTGCTATCAAATACAACAACCTACAACAAACATACTCGATCGCATAAATTTAGCCATATATATTCATCGAATCTCAAGAGTCTAATCTCCCGTCTAATACCGTAAACGCCTACAAAGCCAGTCGCGATATCGATGAATTGAACAAGATCGAATATGTAGTTAATCCACCTTATACGGCTAGAAACCAAATGTACGTTAAAATAGATTCCTATGCCTCTCTATTTGATCACCGAAACAGACCCATTGACTCGTCAAATATCAATAAATTTATCAATAAGAAATGCGACGCACAATCATTCATTTGTCCAAAAGACTTACCGTATACTACGGTACCCACGGTTCACTGTCGTGCGGTGCCAGCGTTCGGTATAGAGTGACAGCGGCAATGTTAAAAATTAGGAACGACGGACTAATTTCAAATAAGTCAGTGTTGCAAGCGTTTAGCGGATATGGATTTGAATCTGGATCTGGATCTCCCTTGAAATTAAAAGTCGATTAAATTTGAATGATTAACTTATGATTAACTTAGAAAAAATCAATTGAACCTCGGTTATTCCTCGGAATAACTGAGGTTAATTTTTTTGCCTTAAATAAATTGACTATTAATAAAAAATGACGGACGCAGAGATTTATCATTTAACCGGCTCGTTACCCAAATGGCCAACCCCACCACCACGACCAAAAAACATGTGTGATCATTACGTAGTAGAAATAGACAACAGATATGCGTGTAAACATTGCGGTCTAATTTTTGGTTGGGTTTCCTCATACACCCCTGTAGACATGGGAGATAGATATTACAAGCATCAAGTTTGGAAAAAACCGCCACCACCGAAATCGAGAAAAACTTTAAAAGAGTTTAACGTTCAATTGGAGAATGGTGAAGCGGGTGAAATAGAATATAAGTTAAACCAAGTTCTAAACGGCAAGATCTCTAGAGGTAAATCGCGGTATGTTATCAAGAGACAACTGGGGAGGACGATTTAAAAGTAAAAGATCTATTTCAAGTTTCGGATAAGCACTGGGAAAATGCCTTTGACAAATTAACCCTCGCCAAACAAGATCCTTTGAGAAATAGTTAGTTTATTTACTTTAAAATAAAATGGAGACTCATACTTTTTACCTGTGCCAAAATCCTCAGACGTTTAAATTGAAAAACGTCATCGATAATTCAAAGGGTGATAAGGTAATCTTAGTTAAAAACATTTTATTTGAAAGAGGTTATACATTGGAATCGGATCAACTCGCGTTTATTTATTGTCCTCAATTGGACACCAACTATAATTTTTACAATGGGCAATCGTTTGACCTGCTACAAGTGATTTCAACATATCAATATTTTCGTAGCGATTTTGAAACGCCCAGAAAATTGCAACGGATAAATATAGACGAGTTAACTTTTTACCTCAAATCAGAAAGTGGGGGGTACTGTTACAAAATGAAAACTACGGAGTAATTATCAAGTTAAATACAATATAAAACGCGTATATAATAAAAGATGATTACTAACATTTACCCAGATTTGACTTTAAACTCAGTTGAACAAGCAGAGAGAGGTGAGAGAAGTGAGGTGAGCGAAGCGAGCACTAAAATTTACAGACTCAAAAAGATCAAAGAAATTAAATCCCAGATTCAAAGAGAACACGACGCGCGGGAAACTACCTACAAAAAGATCAAATGTATACTCACCGCACTCCGTTATGTAGAGTACGGCTTGGAAGCATTTGGTGCGACCTCGGCAGTCGTCGGAATTCCCCCCATTTTGGGCGTTGTTACCGGACCCGTCGGACTCGTGATGGAAGGCATCGCTATCCGTGCGTTCGGTGCTTACGCGATATTAAAATACGCCAGTCACCGGCTGGCCCATAAAACTAAAAAGCACGACCAAATTCGAATGTTGGCAGACGCTAAATTAAATACAATCGAGGAATATGTATCTCACGCGATTGAAGATGGTGATATATCCCAGGAGGAATTCAAATTGATTTTATCCGAGCTGAAAAAATTTAACGACAT